GAAGGTCCTTGCTGTATGGAAGCCCCTGCCAGCAGGCGGAAGCCCCAGTGCAGTTGAGCAATTACATTGGGTGGTGGGTTGCTGATTGCAGGCAGGCAGGCAAGACATTTTAAAGAGCTATGGAGCCGAAGGTACCCGTCCCTGGCAGCTAGCTCAGCATTGGCGCTCGGCCAGAGACAACAGGGCCTTTTGACTAGATTTCTTCTCCTCACAACTCTGTGAAGGGGAAGGAGCCTATCCAGCTATGCAGGGGGATTAGAGAGAGAGGGGCCAACTGTATCTAGTGAGTTGGATTAGGAACCTTCTCGCTGACATTCCAGTATAATCTGAGGACCCCCCAATTCATATCATTTAAAAACAACGTAAAAGCTAAATTAGACTGTGGCCCAGTGACCTTCCCCTCACTGCTGCTCGCACTGCAGGAGGGTTTATTTTCAGTCCTAGGGCTATTGTAACCGCTGCACAGCCCCACTGTGGGGACAGCCAAAGGTAGGGGCTTGTGGCACGTGGGAGGAAGTGAGCTCATTAACACAAGCATCTCCCCAGAGCAGGTCTGCAATTCCTGAGCTTGGAGCTGCCTCCTTGCACTTACGCACCTGGCCAACATGTCGGCTGGGCTGATGTATAGCCAGCACGTGCTGCCTTCTGGGGTTTGAATGGACCAGAAGGCTGCGTCACTACTCAACTAGCCAGGACTTGCAGTGGCTATTAACTGTTTTCAGGAGGGCTAATAACTAGCTAGTTTGTTTGTAACTTTTCATTAATCAAAATGTTCTGGGTGCAAGTTAATTTCCTTTGCTCAGTAATTACTGTATATCCTCCCTCCCTCTCTATCTATCTCGGGCTACAGTTGCTGAGAGAAATGAACTGTACATTTTTCTGGAATCAGATAACAGCTTATCAAGGGTTATAGTGGATTCTCCATCACTGGAAACTTAAAAATCAAGATTGGATGTTTTTTCTTAAAGATGTGCTTTAGTTCAAACAGGAATTAATTCAGGGAAGTCCTATAGCCTGTGTTATACAGGAGGTCAGACTAGCTGATCACAATGGTCCCTTCTGGCTATATAATCTATGAATTGGTCCATGCGGGATCTCTAGTATCTTGGTATACTGTACCAAAATGAACTTGGGTAAACCTTTCAAAAGTGCCAGAGTTCCATTTTCAAAAGTGATTTAGTAGACTAGTAATTAACTCCCACTAATCTTATTGGAAATGGTACCATGAAAATCAGTTTATCTGAGCTAAATAGCCTTTAATAATAAATTAATAGGGCTGTCAAATTATTAAAAAAATGAATTGCGATTAATCGCACTATTAAACAATAATAGAATACCATTTATTTAAATATTTTTGGATGTTTTCTACATTTTCAAATATATTGATTTCAGTTGCAATACAGACTATAAAATGTACAGTGCTCGCTTTCTATTTATTTTTAATAAAAATATTTGCACTGTAAAAAACAAAATAGTATATTTCAATTCACCTACTACAAGTACTGTAGTGCAATCTCTTTATCATGAAAGTTGAACTTACAAATATCGAATTATGTACAAAAAAATAACTGCACTCAAAAATAAAACAATGTAAAACTTTATAGAGTCTACAGGTCCACTCAGTCCTACTTCAGCCAATTGCTCAGACAAACAAGTTTGGTTACATTTGCAGGAGATAATGCTGCCCGCTTCTTGTTTACAATGTCACCTGAAAGTGAGAACAGACGTTCGCATCGCACTGTTGTAGCCAACGTCACAAGAAATTTACGTGCCAGATGCTCTAAAGATTCATATGTCCCTTCATGCTTCAACCACCATTCCAGAGGACATGCGTCCATGCTGATGACAGGTCTGCTCGATAACAATCCAAAGCAGAGCGGACCGATGCGTGTTCATTTTCATCATGTGAGTCAGATGCCACCAGCAGAAGGTTAATTTTTTTTTTTTGGTGGTTCGGGTTCTGTAGTTTCCGCATCAGAGTGTTGCTCTTTTAAGACTTCTGAAAGCATGTGCCACACCTTGTCCCTCTCAGATTTTGGACGTCACTTCAGATTCTTAAACCTTGGGTCGAGTGCTGTAGCTATTTTTAGAAATCTCACATTGGTACCTTCTTTGCGTTTTGTCAAATCTGCAGTAACAGTGTTCGTAAATCAAACAACATGTGCTGGGTCATCATCTGAGACTGCTGTAACATGAAATATACAGCAGAATGCGAGTAAACAGAGCAGGGGACATACAATTCTCCCCCAAGAAGTTCAGTCACAAATTTAATTCACTATTTTTTTAACGAACATCATTAGCACGGAAGCATGTCCTCTGTAATGGTGGCTGAAGCATGAAGGGGCATACGAATGTTTAGTATATCTGGCACGTAAATACCTTGCAACACCAGCTACAAAAGTGCCATGCAAACACCTGTTCTAATTTTCAGGTGACATTGTAAATAAGAAGCAGGCAGCAGTACCTCCCGTAAATGTAAACAGACTTGTTTGTCTTAGTGGCTGGCTGAACAAGAAATAGGACTAAGTGGACCTGTAGGCTCTAAATATTTAATAAATTTCAATTGGTATTCTATTGTTTAACAGTGCGATTAATCACGATTAATTTTTTTAATCGCAGTTAATTTTTTTGAGTTAATCGTGTGAGTTAACTGCGATTAATCGACAGGCCTCATTAATAATGATACCTGGGGCTCTTGTATAGTGCTTTTCATCAGTAGATCTCAAAGCACTTTACAAAGGAGGTCTGGCTCAAGGGCTGCATTCCACTGACAATGCAAATCATAGGGGGGGGGAAATAAGTAGCTAATAAAAACTGTTGGGATGCACTGGTTTAACCACATTGCCTGTAGCCTGAATGTCTGATCATCACTACAGGTTTTGTTAACATAATCTTACCATTTAACAGCAACATAGAGCCAGGTCCATTCAAAGAAAAGCCAAAATTAATGGGCTTTTATTTAGCGGCATGGAGAAAGCCTAACGGAAAGTCGAGTGGGCACAGGGGCCTCACAGAAACATACTATAGCCCCCATTTTAAAATTCCTTCTGGGAGGCATAATAGCTGCTGAGAACTCTTCAAAGAATCTCTTGGACAGTGTCAAAAATCTTTTCAAAACATTAGTTGGCTCGGCAGTCTGTGTGGTGCTTGGTATGGTTTAGTTCCCCCTACATTTCCCTTTGTTTTATACACCTGCTTTATTCTATTGTAAACTACATCGTAAGATTTCATCATAACTGTTTATACTGTTTCAAGCAAGTTAGGGCCCTGATCTCTCCATTTCTCTATTTGTTTAATTAGCGAGACTGAGTCAAATCCATGCCTGGCTGAACGCCAGTGTGTTAGGAGAGTTACATCAGGGAGACATTTGGACAGTGATCTTTAACAGTTGTTGAATGCAAAGATAGAAAACCTAAGGGGTTGTAATTTCAGGTGCAATAGCGCAAATTTTGCTTTTATTTTTTTTTATTACAGTCTGCAGCGATTGAGAATTCTTTCCTCTTGATCTCTGCTCCAGGACCAGTGCTAGGAAAAAGTATACTGATGCTGAAAACATTTGTAATGGGCTGCCAAAATGTTTCTCGTTTTGGCACATTGTAAGCAGTGGGACTTGACAGCTTTTGTCTCACTTTGTTGATTAAAATAATTTACCTTCCCCACATACCATATTTGTTGTGTAATTGAATGTTAATGGTGTATTATTAAAAACCTCTCCATAGTTCCACAAATCTTAAAATATATAATTAATTTGTGACTCTACACATCTCTCTCCCAGAGAAACCTGAGATGCTGGTTTCATCCCATGCTGTTAGAAATTGCTCATTACATCACTTCCTCTATTTTCAAGGCAGCTAACTGGGCAAAACACTGGTCCATTTTTACAAAACTCCCTCCCTCTGTAATGGGTGATTCTTGAGGTGCCTAAATGTTTAGCCCATCTGCTGTCAATTTCGCTGGCTCAAGTCTCCTTACCAGGACTGGACTTGCAAGGGTTTACAAAAACTGGTTTCTATAAAAATCAAGGGGACAGATCCTGAAATGAGAAACAGTCCTTTTGTTTAGGGACATATGATGACCTGCCCCGATCAACTACCAATTCTTGGTTTTATCACAATCAACTGGCACCTGAGAAGCCAAGAGACCTGCTTGTTTTCCTTTTTAAATCTGATTAATCCTCATACAATAAACTGAATCCCAGTGGTAAGGTTTCATGTTTAGTATGTATGACTGACTGGGACTCAAGTGAGCTAAATTTAGTTCCCGACAAACTAATTTAAGTGTTTATTACTCCTTTTCACACACTGTAATTTTCTTTGTCTTTAATGAGAATGCAGGTACCAACTGTTTAACTGTGGTTTTATTGATAGATTCACTTTTTATAGAGATCTGCAAGTTAAACATTTGCCTAGAAATAGTCTCTTTCCTGGCCATCACATTCCAACTACAGAAGCCCCGCATGTTAAAAATGCCCCTTGCATGAGTTATAACAACATTTTAATAAATACTTTACAAAAATAATGCTCAGGCTTTTTAAATCACTGAGAACAACTCCTTATCCCTTTCCCCCAAAAAACTCTTTAAAGAATAGCTTTTTCTGTATAATACTGTGCAGTAAGGACATGCTGGAAGGAAAAAAAAATTAAGAAGGTGACTTATTGTACCCCAGTGAATATGTTCAAAAGTCTATATTCGTTTCTCTTTTTTTAAAAGTGCACTTCTTTCTTTATAGCAGAACCCTTCTAATTACATGTAGGAATTAGAAGATAACTGGGTTTTCTTCATTTTTTGGTCAACATTCTTTTCCTTTTAACTCCACGCTTCAGCCTCAGCAAATTTTGGCCCTTTAGTCCCTGATCCTGCAAAGACTGACTTACACAGTTTCTTTAGTTGTACATGCCGTGTGGCAGCTTCTCTACTGGTGTGAATTGTCATGACGCCATTCTCTTCCATGGAGCTATGATAATTCATAGCAGCTGTAGATCCGCCCCTGTGCAAAGTCACTGAACTACTCACAGTATGGGAAGTTAAGCAGATTCATATGTCTTTGCAGAATCCTAGGCCTTATTTTAGATTCTTTTGGTGTAGCCCAAAGGAACATGGCAGCTGCATCTTCTGGAAACCCTACCACATATATACAGCCAACACCTGAGTGACTGGAAGGGCAATGGGGAGCTTCAACTGAGAATGATTAATGTTGGTGTTGGTTTATTGATCTTCAGCATTTCTACCTGTTTTCTCCTCCAATAATTAATAGCTTTCCCTCCCAACAATCCTTCCCCTCTTCTTGTAGATACCATTAAATACTTTCATTAATACAGCTCCAGAGAAAGTGTTATTTTTAAACAGCTGTGTTTATATTAAATAAGTTACATATAAAAACTGTTTAAGAGTTTAGGCTCTTTGGCCCAAATACAAAAACAAAAACCCCAAACCTGTCCATGTGGCAAAGCAGGTAAGTATGTGCTTATCTCTAAGCACATGCTTAAGTTGCATTGACTATAATGGATTTAAGCATGTGATTAAGTGGTTTGCTGTACAGGGATAGATCTAAGCATGTGCTTAAGTGCTTTGCTGAATCAGGGCCTTTGAGCCTGATTTGCATTTCACTTCCCCTAGCTTTATCCTGCCATTAGGGACCAATCGTGCATCATTTAAAATCAATAGGAGCTTTGTTATTGACTTTAATGGGAGCAGGATCAGAGCTTTACTGATTTACACTGATGTAAAAATCTGTATCAAGCTTTGTTCAGCATGAATTTATTCACCCTGTTTTTCCCTGGAGGTTTTTCTTTCTTGTGAAATAAAATGCATTTTATTGCTATATAAACTTCTATCATTAAAGGTTTTGTGTATGTTTGTATGCAGAGGAGTGTGTGAGATATATGCATATATAAATTACACACACAGAGAAAAATACACATGTATTATATACAAATATATACACTCATACTAAAGATACTGACCAACCCCATTTCAAATAGATAATGCAGCAAATGCAGTTTTGTGCCATCTATGGAAATGATCCCCATTTTCCTGTCTGAGGAGGAAAATCCCTTCAGTATTCCCTTGCTTCCTGAAACTGCTTGTAATAGTCTTCATCTGAAGGGTTTTCTGTACATTTCTGACCATTGTTAGGGGGCCGTGCTTCATTGTATCGGCTCCAGTCTCCTTTGCATATAATCCAAGGCAAAATGTCTACTTTGTAATGGAGCTCTGCGGAGAATTCTACGCTGATCAGGTTTGGTGTGCCCGCCCCTTTCCCCCTAGTCATCAGCTGCATATTGTCATCATAGCAACAGTGCTGCGCCGCTAGAGTTGTGCTCTCCAAGGAAAGCATAGAGCGGATACAATAGCGGGCCGTGGGCTTGTAGATCTCCAATTTTTCCTTTGGCCCACTTGCATCTTTCCAGCGAAAGTTTTTCCGCTTAATCCGGTCATAGATCTCAGCAGTGCTGTAAGCGACTTCTGTGGGGTAGGAGCAAGGGCAGCTGGGTAGGTCATTAACCACTTTGTGCATGTATTTCTTCAAGAACTCACTTTTGCAGCTCATCCATCTTTCGCAACTATCAGTATCTGTGGGAGGAGGGGAGATGAAAATGCCTTAAGGTACGTTACGCAGCACGTAAATTAATATGATCTAGCTACAGAGATAACAATGAAGATAACCAATGAGAGAAACGTAACTGTCCCACAGAAAGTTCTGTGTAACCAAGTAAGGGCTATAAAGCATGCCTGCTTGCAGTGTGGTGACTTATCTTGTTATTGGATAATCAAGAAAGCAAGATATGACAAGAAAAGGCCATCCTACCGTCAATTACATTGCCATAGTTACATGGATCCTTGGCACTTACTAGGCTTTCACAGTGCCTTATAAACTTCAATTAAACCTGGCAACAGCCCAGTGAAGTACAATAGACGACACACCCCAGTTTTGCAAGTGAGTGAGCTTGAAGCACAGAGAGGTTAAGTGACTTGCCCTAGGTTAAACAATGAATCAGAACTGTGAATAGAAGCTGGCAGCCCTAGCTATTGACCCTCAGCTCCAAAACCCAAGATCTCACAGCCTTCCTGTACCACCACTTGGGGCTCTGAAATGGTACGTGAGGCTCAGCTGGTTTGTAATGACACTAAAGACTCCAAGATGATAAGCATAGCCTTGTATTTATGAAAAATACTGTGGTTAGGACTTCATTTATTTTTCCCTTGCCACGTCCTCTGCCTCTCCAACAGGATCTTTCGAGCAGCTGCAGTTCGAAGATAAAGAGTGGCCTATAGCAGCCAGTTACATGATGTACCATCAGACAATGTCCGTAAATTAGGATGGTCAAATGGCACTAGCCCTATGAATTTTGGTGTGGGGTGGAGGGGTGGCCAGAGTAGAACATTTACAGCTGATATTAATGGATTATGTTGAAGGGGACTGGAGAGAATCAGTTAAGTTTCTCATTTTGGTTTTTTGGGGGCCAAATCATCTCAAACGATGGGTCTGGTCCCACATGTAGGGGCTTAATTCCACATTACTTATGTCTTCAGCACTCAATAGGTCTCATCACATGAGTAAGGTGAGCAAAGTTTCGACCTAAAGCTATACTGCAAACATATTGCCTCAATGATTTCATGGTCAGTTTGCCATACATTTAAGGCATATGCCCGGTTGTCAACAAGTACTATAGTTTGCCTTACAAGCATACACTAGGATTTGGCATGCCAGATAACACTGTTGATCCAACCTGTCTAGTATCCTACCTCCATAAGGGACCAATCCCTGATGCCTCCATGGTAGGGGATAAACCCTCACAGTACACGTGGCCCATTATGTGCACTGTTGTACATGAATGGAAGAAAGTTACATACAGCAATCAGCTCATACCCTGAGGCATTGATTTGGTTGACCCTATCTTGCCATCCACAGCTACAAATGCTGTTATTGCTCATATAATTATCCACCTCACATCAGCAACAGCTGTAACTCTTACAAAAATGATCACGAATAAAGTGCCGCTATAGCACCTTTCAACTGAGGATATTGAAGCGCTTATAGCACTGCTGTGAGGTAAGGACGCAGCATCGCTGTTTTACAACTGGAGAAACTGAAGCACAGACACCGACTTGGTGATTTGTGGAAAGTTATTCAAAAAGAATCCTGTGACAGAGTTAGGGATAGAACCAAGATATTCCGAGGTCTAGTTCTGTTCCTTAACAATAAAATAATCAACAGCAATTTGGAATATGACTCATTTTTAAGACAGAGGCTTATGAGCCCAAATCTTATAGTGATAGTTTAAAAAACAATCCTAAAAGGAGCTTGTCTCTAGAGATACTAGACTGCCAGCTGCTTACCAACTTCGAATAGCTTGGTGGCATTGAACTCTTCGCTTCCTGCAAGTAAGCTCACTTCTGTGGCAGCTGTCCTGAAGGTGTCTTCAATCCCTAAAGACAAACATAGACTAATAGATGTGTTTTCTTAACAGTAAACAACAATGAAAAACAAAAACAAACCACCAAAGTTGTGACTGCATTGCCGCTGTTGAATTTAGTGCTGGAGGAAAACATTAACAATATAATGATGAGAAACAGGCTGACCTGGTGGAGTCCCTGTAGATAACCGGTATACTTGCTAGGCAGGCCTTTAAATAGCCAAGCCAAAGGTTCCAAACTTTGGTGCCTAGATCTAGTTAGGGCACCTAAATCTATATTTAGGTATGTAACTAAGTGGCCTGATTTTTCAAAGCTGCCCAGTAACTCCCAGGAATTCCAATTGAAGCTGCAGGTGCTGAGTACCAATGAAAATCCGTCCATTTGATTAGGTGGCCAAGTTTACGTATCCAGATATCTTTTTCCTAGCATGTGTTAGGGAGGGTTGATGACATCTCAACTTGTTGAGAAATTTCTTAGTGAAAGCTGTAAAGCACAACGTGGAATATGAAACCCGTTGGAGACCGTGCTCCAGCTGTGTCGAAATGCTCCAAAATGCTGACCTGGCACTTTATTTTTTTTTGGAGCTGGAACAGCGATGGTCCCAGGTCAAGTGGCTCTTTTCTCTCCCCAGCTGCAGAGAGGCTTCTGAGCCAGCAGGTGCTGATGCTAGGCCTGGGAGGGAGCAGGGGATGCTGCCGCCAGGACCAGCCAGGGGAGCATCAGGGAACAGAGTGCCAGGAGCCCAGGGTGGAGCTGGAGTCTGGCAGCAGGACCACATGGATAGTGGAGGGAGGAGCCTGGCACAGGTAGGGATGAGGCAGGGACAGGACCGGCTCTATGGAAAGTCACTCCCTGCTCACCCAGGCCTCCCTCAGCTCCCTCTATCTTTCTCCCAGCTCCCCCCGTTACCTCTCAGCAACCCGCTGCTCCCTTCCAGGGCCTCCCACATTCCAGCACTGCTGTTTCAGACTCCAGGACTGGTTGGAGACCCCCTCAGCTCCACCTTTTAAACTGATGGAGACTTGCTAATATGTTCATGTTTACTTGTTGGCAGGATACCAAATGTGTTTCAGTGAGTGAATGCAATAGCGCCTGCCCCAGCAAGCTGAAAATGTATTTGTGTGCTTTGCTCTTCAGTTACATTCTCTTCCGCTGCTAGGGGAGTGAAAGGAGTTGGGAGGAAAGAGACAAATATGTAGAAACGGTCCAAAAATCTTAGAAACTTGGGGTGCCTGGCAAGCTCCAGTAAAGCATTTGTCACTAGCATAGAGAACCATGGACTAACAAAAAAGGTGTGAAAACATGGTCATTACTTGACTAATTGTATTATGCTCAAATGAACACCCTTTTGATGCTATTTTATTTAACGAACTACTATTCTCTTTAAATGAAAGCCCTTCAAAGAAGCATTTAAGCATGTAATTTTTATTCCATTGCATCATATATTTCAAAAGTAAGCCCAGAAAACTCTCAGTATGCAAAAACTGTGTGGTTAATAAAGCCTGGTTCCCTTCCATCCCCTTTCCAGCGAACTTTATCGTGGTCTTGTTACTGGTGCACAGTAATACAAACCAGGGCCTTGCAGAGCTTCAAAACAGCCTCAGACTTTTTTACAATAATTTATTGTAAGGGCTTTGCCTTAACTGCAGCTGTAGATGCAGAATAATAGATACCCCAGAATCCTTCCAAGGTAATAATTCACTGCAGAGGTTCTGCTGACAGTATAAACAGTAGAAGCTGAGCTTTGCCCTGGTCATTTTAAAAATACCAGCAGAGACTCGAAGAGTGTATTACATTTTCCTCACTGATCCTCAGGTGTCTGTAATGTGACGTAATACAATCTTTCAAGTCTGCCATGGTTTGATTCTAGATGGTAACAAATACCTGAGACTATACCTCTTCTGGATTTAGCCCATTGTTGTTCAGGGTTGAGGGAGTGGGGGAAATGTTCAACAAGAGAGGGTGGGTGGGTGGGTGTGTGTACATGTCAGAGAGTAACTGCCAAACACTGCTTGTCGAGTGATTTTAAAAATCTCTAGCAATGCTGCATTTGTATAGTCCCAGTGCAACGTCTGATCTCATACTTAGGATTTTATAGCTATTTCAGGTCTTTCACTTCCTTTACCTTCCAAATTGTGAAGCTAAACGTGGCTAAATGTTGGTGAAATGCAATCTGCTGGAGGGTGCTTCCCTCGGCTCTGCCTAGGCCCCGCCCCCAACTCCAACCCTTCCCCCAAGGCCCCACCCCCACCCTGCTTCTTTTCACCCCTGCTCTGCCCCCACATTTTCCCACCCA